AGTATTGTGATATAACATACACGGATTGGAATGTGAAGTCAGCGAAAAATAATTATAACAGATTCAAATGCAGGTTTGTGTTCAATGTCAATTCAATGACGTAGAATCTTCTTGGATGCGAATAGACTTTGGAAAATACATTTTTTAGATATGTTTTTGTATGCCATCATAGTGCTTATAAAAAAGTGGATCAAGGAAATAATAAGAAAGGAAAATCCAAAAACTGCTGTTGCCTGGCTTCAATTGATATTTTAATTAAACTAAGCACCACAGATACCAAAAAAAAAGATAAATATATTAGGGTATTTATTTCCAAAATTTTCTATTCTAATTTGCCAGGTTTCAGGTATTTATAATCCCCCCCTGGGTCCGCCACTGCAAATTATTGTCCAAGATTTTTTGAAATGTATCGTTGAAATAAAATAAATGTGTAACAAAAAGTAAATAAAGTTTGTTTGTTGATTTTGTGCCGCGCTAACGGAGTAACATTCCGACCTGAGGCTCAGCACCGTTCAACATTCAAGTACGGATTTCGGCACTCCTCATTAATTGGCGGTCCGAATTCAAACGGACGAATGAAATATGCCTAGGTGCCGAATCCTATACCCGAATGTTTAGATGCATCCCGGTGGGCCCATCCGCCCCTGCTCAAAGGTTTTAGATATGGGTTTTAGATGCGGCACTGCATATTTTTCTACAAAAATTCTGAGATGATCAAAAATTACCCACATACTGTATTTTCGACCTACTCTTAAGATTTTCACAGAAAGGACCCCGCACAAACCTCACGGGAAATGGCTTTCTGTCAAATTGGCTGAATTTTTGAAATTGGGTAGATTTCGATATTGCGATTGAAAGTTTTCATTGCGCAAAAATGATTCCATGTACAGTTTTTGAGTAAATGAACTTAAAAAATGGTTTTGAAACACATGTAGCTTTAAGAGGTAGGTGCTCAACGTTATTAATCGATACTGCAATAGCCAAACTGTGGGATAGCGATGTTAAAGCAAATAATGTTAAAGTCTAGGATCAGTGGCTAATATCTCAGCCGAGATACATTTTTTTTGTTTCCATTTCCACGCTTTGACTATTTTAGTATCGATTGATAGGGTTAAGCATACCTACCTCATAAGATACATGCGTTTCCAATAGCATCTTTCAAGCCCATTTACTCAAAAACTGTACATGGAATCATTTTTGCGCACGATAACTTTTGATCATAATAACGAAATCTACCTAGTTTCAAAAATTCAGCCAATTTGACAGAAAGTCATTTTCCATAAGGTTTGTGCGGGGTCCTTAACTGTCATAATCAAGTAGTTAATTTGGAATAAGAAACTTAAATAATTTCTCTATATTTTGGATGGTGGTTTGGTGAACCATTATAGGCAAATCTAACTGAACCTTCATTTGATTAAGGAATAGGGATAATACACCACAATATCACTGTGGGCTCTTCATTTTTGATATCTTCAGATTGGACGAGCTATCACTGCCAGATTAGAGATAGTCTGGTTAAAATGTAAGTCATATTACCATGCCAAAATACTTGCGACTAATCCTGTTACCGCTAGCTAATACTGCAGTGGGTCTACAGAATAAAGAACTTGCAGAAGTAGAAAATTAACAGCAATACTTTTTAGGCTGTTCATAATCCAAAAGGTTTGGTTTTCTGGCGACTCCCTGAAAAATGGAAAAGCTACATCAGACGTACAAACTACTGGATAATCGAGGCCTGGTAAAAAGAAAAATCAATCAATGCATCATCCAGCCAACATTCTCCCAGTTATTTTATTAGAGTCAAATGAGTTTTGCCATGGCATTCTTTGTGTTTTGCAACTGCTTTTCAAGTGTCCCTCTATTTATATTTTCTGCCATTCTGACATTGGCAGTTGGCAGTTTTTCAAAAATAAAATTGATGTCTGGTTTCTTGCATAATTGCGTTTTTTCCTAAGTACCTTACCTTTATTTTGTGAATTTTCAGATAGGTACCTACAACACCCAAATCTACGGAATTGAGAATAGAATGTTAAGCCATAATTCAAATGTGATTGGTAAGGAGTTCTGGAGAGTTAAAATTAAACACAAACCTAATATAATTAATACCTAATATAATTGTTGATAACATAATTATATGTGGTATAGAAAACAGATTAGGACCGATTCTCAGACCTACCGAATATACATATTAAATTTCATAAAAGTCGGTCAAGCAATTTCAGAGGAGTATTGTTACAAACACTGTGACACCAGAATTATATTGAATATAGATTAGTTTAATTGTAATGTACCTATGGATGGGAACATTATCAGATATTTCAATGACAATAATTTAAGCCTGCCATACGTCCCGTATTATACGGGACAGTCCCTTATTTCGAGGTCCATGTCCCGCGTCCCCAAATTTGCTGTCGGGACGCGTAAATGTCCCGTATTCTCTGATATATCAAAAAGCGTAAAATAATTCGATTTTTGCGTCTCATTCCCAGTCTCTGCGGTGGCATAGATAAATCGATTTTGCGCCTCATCTCTAGTCTCAGCAAATCGCAACGTGATGTTTAAATCGACATAGCATTTGACATTTGACAGTTTAGAATTTGGCGAGTTCGGTCTAAGGATAATATACACCGCTAAGGGCCAAATTATGGACCAACTGGTAAGTGTCTGGTTGTTATTCAGCAGGTACTTTCTATTCTCTAATGCATAGAAAGTACCTACTAGGTAACAACCAAACGTTTACCAGTCAGTCCATAATTTGGCCCTAAGGCACATTGTTTATCAGCCTCGTTTTTGGTAATCGCCGCCATATTGGTGTATCACCATTGCCGACGTCATCAACTAAGCCGTTAGCGACGTCAGCTGTTTGCGCCAGCAGTCGTAGTCGTAATAAAATATTATTTAATTTTGATTGACATAATAGGCAAATAGGAAGTGCAAACGAGATCTGAAAAATAGTTATTTTAGGATGTTAATTGATGTAGTAAAATCAAGTATGCATATAAAGCAAAAGCCCGCGAAATCATAACCTGTGGTGCAAACTGCAAACAGCCTACGTCAAGGCGAGAAACGACATGCTGTCTACGTCACAAATGGTGATTTGATAGGGTGGGGGGCGTCAGATTTGTTCTACACAGGCCTTATGAGGATAAGCTAACTAAGGGCTATCCTGTAGTAGTAAGGTGTATTATCCGTGAGTTCGTCCTACGAGCATGGTCCCGAAAAAAAAAATCGCTATTTTTTTTGCAAATACATGAAACATCTATTTCATAAAAATGTCCCGTTTTTTTATCAGAATAATATGGTAGCCTTACAATAATTTAACAAATCAACACGAGAAATTGAACAAAATAAATTCATAAACGCAATAAAGACCTGCTGGAACAATAAGGAGAATACTCCAGCAAGAAATCCTCAAAGGGGGTGTCACCCTAAAAAATGCGACTTAAGCTACTTGAATCAAGAAAAAAAATATAAAGATCTCTCGTGAAAACCGCAGTCCTATATTCAAATAATAGTCTCCGAGAAAATTCCTTGCGAAGATAAATAGATAAATTATGCAGGAACTTGTGACGTCACAACCGCCGAAATCGCAGTTTTCCGTTCGTTCAGTCGACAGTGAACCGTACCCTATACTTTGAGTGGCTGCAATTCGCTCTAGTGAGATAATTTGTCTTTTGTTTTGGAAAATTCTTACACGTGTTGATACTGTGCCTGATAATTCGGTGTGACGTCACAAACACTTAGTTGTAATTTTAAACCGCCCTCACTCGAAAACGGATCATCGTAGCAAGATGCGGTTTAATAAATATTTGTTCTTAGATTTTTTTGCATAAAACTTTCATTTTTGGGTCACACCCCCTTTAAAATCAGAACACAAAATTCCTAATTATTAGAATATTTGAAAAATACGGAACCTATTATAAAGTAATAAAAGCTGAACGCGCTTTGGGATAGAAAATGAAAATACAGTGACTCAATAAAACTTTTCAGACAGTGGCGACAATAGGGGTCCCACCACCATATTCTTGCTGATTTTCAATGAATAATAAAGGATTTTGAAGAACCAATCAAAAATAGGACGGCAATTGTCGCCACTGTGGTTTATTGACTCACTGTAAATGGAAAGAGAACAGGTAGATTTATTACGTGCTGAGTGTACTTCCGTCTCTTTCTCTCAGCTTGTTAAAGAAACAGATGGAAATACATTTTCTTTGTACTAAGGGCGGGTATTTTAAAACTATTTTGACAAATAACTAAAATATTAGTTCTGGCCTGATTCCGAACCCACGATTCGATAGTATCGTCGTCGTCTATATAAATATAGATATTCCGGTCTCTGGAATGACTATGAGATGTGAAGTCATTCCAGAAGTTAACTTTCAGTTATTTGTAAAAAATAATTTCATAATACCCGCCTAATTTTACCAACCGAAAACGCTATAAGACATAGGGAGGTGTTTCCGTTTCCGGCTTCTTGCTCCTTGTTCAAAAGGTAAACGACTCGAGTGGTTTGTGGACGTGGTTTGCGCTTAAGCGGCTCAGGGTCATATTCGTCCATTTGGTAAGTTTAGGAACTAAATTAATTGATTATGCTGTATGTATGCATTTAATTTTCATAAATAACAATTTGGAATATATTTATTTATTTGAATAAGAGGTGTATGTGTGGTTTATTGTGATAATTGCGTTTTACAAAATCAAAATGGCGGAACATCAAGGTAAAGGCACGAAAAGATAATGCATTTTGGCATCAATTATTGTTGTATCCAAAATATTTTTAGTCATTATCCAGCTCTGATAGTAAGATAAACCGCCGTGTGATTTTTATCCATACACCGCCTTTCCAAATGGCGGAAGTGTGGGATTTATATTACACACGTTCTTGAACGCAACCATCGCCATAGCAAGGGTTGCATGTGTTTAATGTTAGCAAATATTTTTGACATTTCAATTTTTTGCAATTTTATATATTTTTTCCTAGTAAAATTCAAATATTCTAGTGAAAATCATGTCTGAACCTGAACCTAAACCCGAACCTGAACCTAAACCCAAACCGGAACCTGAACTCCTGAAAACCCATTGGGGCGCTTCAAAGGAAGTTACGGAGGCTATTCTGGAATGCTTGGAGTCTGCACTTAAGAGACTGGTGGAATCACAGTCGAAGTCGTTGTTAAAGAAGTTCTTCACCAGGGATATAGTGGACAAACTGAAAATGAAGACTTCTAAATTCGGGGCCACACTGCAAGATTGCATTGATCCTGGTAAGTCGATCAAAAATTTACAATTTACAATACTTTCTGAATGCCATGGAACAGCAGGGCCGTCAAGAGGCCGTGTCAAGCTCCAGTGAAAAAAATAATAACTGGCCCCCTAATGCTCTGCAGGCTTTTTTTTAAAGTCCCGTCTGCCACTCCCTCTTGCCGGGCCTGCCTTAATAATCTTGTTCACTGAAAAACAGTACTTAGAAACAAAAAAAAATCTGTGGAGGTCCTTCATTCAACAATGATAAACTCACAAATAATACAAACCTGTTGAATCTCTTAGGATTTTTCTGCAGGAGTCTCGATAAATTAGATTTTCGAAAAAGCTACAAATTGATACACTCATACAATTCTGAATTGACGTGCACGTCCTAGCAAAAGTTATAATGAAACAATGGGCAGATGAAAAGTCGTAGACAACGAGGATTATGTTCAAATCAGGCAAATAGAGACAATAATTACAGGAAAACGCGTAAGAAAGGACAAACACAATACAGGAATGTGGAAAGTTTGTGAAAAGCTAGTACGTAGTGAAAGAAAAAGGACACTTTTAGGGCAGGGTTGTGTATTGAGACCTCTTCTTTTGATATTGATGTTTGTGAACTGTGAGTTTATAAATATTTTTGCCAATGACACATTTTTGGCTTGCAGTGATAATGATCTCGGCAAAGCAATAGAAAAAATGAATGGGGTCTTGTCAGAGACAGAGTTATACTTGGGGAATAATAAAATGAAATTAAATGTACCCAAACAAAAGCGATTATTTTTGCATCTAAGTATAGATATCAGGCAAGTGTAGACATTAATCCTCAATTAATGATAGATTAGAGATGATTTAAATTCAAATTTTGTAGGTCTCGATTAGGTCACCTGTTACTCTTTGTTGCTTGAGTGTTGTTAAATTGAATTTCTGTAGCCTGGTCTCGTAAGATAAGTGTCTAATCTCGAGTGAAATTTTAGTTATTCTCTCGGTTATTCTATGTTGCACTAACTCCAAAAGTTTGATGTCTTTAATATAGTAAGGGTTCCACGCTGTATGGCAATATTCTAGCTTGGGTCTGATGTAAGTAGTGTAAAGCTTTTTTATCATGCTAATGGAGTGGTTTGCAAAGGTTCACCAAGTAGGACATCTGGTTGGCCTTTTTTACTATGTGTCCTATATGTGCTTCCCATTTTAGATTGTTAGTTACATTTACACCCAGGTCCTTCTGTTCTTTTACATTTTTTAATTCTATGTTGTTGATTTTGTACTGAATCATTGGAGTTTTGCGGCATATATGGAGCATTGCGCATTTTGCCTCGTTGAGCCTGAGTTGCTAGGTGCTTGTCCATTGCTCTATTATTTGTAGATCTTCTTGGAACAAGTGCATTTGTTGTAAAAAAATTTTTTTCATCTGCAAAGGCTTCGATGTTTGTTCTAATGCTTTTTGCCATGTCTGCTATGTAGATCAAAAAGAACATGGAAGCTATGACGGATCCTTGTGGTACTCCTCTTGTGACTCTGTGGGGTCTGAGTAGGTTCCATTTGCTCTTACTTGGAAATGTCTGTCTTTGAGAAAGTTCTTGCTCTGCCGTAGGTAGAGGCCTCGGATTCTACAGTGATCCAGTTTGTATACCAGCCTTTCATGAGGAACAGTATCAAATGCTTTTTGGAAATCCAAGTATCCACTGGGTTCCCCTCATCAATTTTTTAGTCCATGCTTTAACGCAATTTAGTAAATTTGTGGTAGTAGATCTACTTGGTCGAAAGCCATGCTGTGTGGATGGGAGGAACGTGGTCATTTCTTTGACAATAATTTTTTCCAATAACTTACACAGTGTGCATGTCAGGCTAATTGGTCTATAGTTAGCCTGATTATACTTGTCGCCGCTTTTGTAAATTGGTATTACAATTGCTTGGGTCCATATTTCTGGTAGGATACCCTCTGCAAGGAAACTGTTGAATAGTGATTTTATAAGTGATGTTATGGATGGTGCACATTTTTTGAATTTTTCAGAAATACTGCAGGTATTCCATCTGGTTCTGGACTGGAGTGAGTTTTTAGGTCTTTTAAAGCTTCGGTTACCGCTTCTGTGGTTATGATTATGTTTTTTAATTGGTCTTTGTTTCGTGTTTGTTGCAGCAACGAAGGAAAGTTGGATAATGATTCATTTGTGAGGACTGATTCAAACTGACTTGCAAAGATATCTGCAGTGTTTTTTGGGTCCCTCAATATCTGTTGGTCTTTTGAATTCTTTATCACGAGATCATGAAGCTGGCTACTTAGATTTCCCTTTATGTAGGAGTAGAAATGTTTATCGTTTTTTACCAGGATATCCTGTTCATATTTAAGACGTGCTTCAGTTAAGAATGATTTTAGTTTGTTGTTTGAGTCCTGTATATACTATGATATTTGTATACAAACATTTAAATAAGTTAGCACCACCTTATTTTGAACAGTTTGTTGTTTTTAATAGGGATATCCATGATTACCCTACAAGAAATAATGATCATCTCTTTATTCCAAGAACGAATTTTAAGAGTACAATGAATCCATTGTTTTTTAAGGGCTTTCAGGAATTTAATAGTCTTCCAAATGATATCAAGGGCCTTCCCTCAGTTCAGCGTTTCAAAGATGGGCTGAGGAATTACATTCAGGCTAAAGATTAATTAATCTACTATTGCATTTACCATCTTGATGTGATGGGTGAATCAGAGTAATGTGCTGCTATCCTCGTGAGGTTTCTACTTGTATTTTGTAGATAGTTGTATGTCCAATGGGCATTTTATCTTATATTGTATTTTTCGTGTACTTATATTAGGTGTACCAACCTATTTAATATAAATAGGTATATATAAAGATATATTTCATTCCATTTCATAGTTAAAGGTATTAGATCCCCGATCAGGGCCTGCATTCCAAACCCACGATTTGATAGTATCGTCTATCGAAAGATATGTAGGTACTTTTGCTCAAGTTTATTTGGCTTGTCGATAGACGATATTATCTGAACTGTGGGTTCGGAATTCTGGCTCAGATCTGTACAAACTAACGAAAGACCATGCCAGTATTTTTATAAATGGCAACAGAATAAGTAGAAGAAAGCAAATAGCAAATGAGTGACCGGCCAAACTTAATTTATAGTTTTTCACCTATACAGAATAGTTATACTTGCATCTTGAACTTGCAACATATAGAAAGCTCTGAATCTAAAAACATTTTTCGTTAAATGTCAAATCAAAAAATACAAGAAATCAAATTTCTATTGACAAATACTGTAGTCCTTTCACCCGTTGAGTTACTCGGAGCTGCTCAATGTCAAAGGCTTGAACGTTCCTTTTAAAAGTGCGTAAAGCACTCTAGTCGCTCATAGTGCGTCTCCCTTTCCCCTGATGCCCCAAATTTGCGGGGGGTGCAAAAAGCCCTTTCAGGTAATGACGGTAATGTTAATTATTAAAAAATGATGATAAAATCTGTGTGTTTTGGAATGACTCCGAGGAGCTCGTTTGGTGTAACTCGATGTATAAAAGGAATACAGTAAAAGCTTATGTTTCCAATATTGTGAATTATGATTTATTTATCAATGTAAAAAATACCAGTCGTAATCTTGTTAGCCCTTTTTTAAAACTAAATAAACAATATGTTTCACACATGAATTATCCATTTCTAGGTGTAAACAATCTTGAGTTGGAAATTGGACTGACTGCAGTGGACCCTGACTGTTACAGAGTTTATGCAGACCTATTTGTGCCTATTATTGAAGCATACCATAAAATAGAAAAAGATACTCCACAACCGGGAATTGACAATTGGGGCTTTATCCCAGATTTTAGAAATGTGGACCCAAAGGGAGAACATGTTGTGTCGACAGGAGTGACGTGCTTCAGGAACCTGCGAGGGTATCCATTTAGTCCGCTTATGACTGAGACCAACTTTAGAGACATTGAAGCTAAGTTGCTTATTGCTTTACGGCAACTTTCTGGAGAATTGTCTGGGACTTACTATCCTTTGGGAGGTAAAAAATTTTTCTTTTCGTTCTGGTAGGTTAATAAAAGCCAATAAAAGAAAGTCAGTTAGGCCAATGCATTTTTTTAAACGTTCTCATGTTGACTCTACTAGAATAAACTTACGCATTATGATTTTCAGATATACCAGAAAACACCCGATACGAATTCATCGCTGAGAATTACTACAAGGATGGCAAACGTGTCATAGGATCAGCAGACAGTAACAGCTATTGGCCAAGCGGTAGAGGGCTTTACTATAATCCTATAAAAACCTTCATGGCTTATATTGGCGAGGAAGATCATATCATGCTAGTGAGCAAGCAACCAGGAGGAAATGTAGGAGCAGTCTTCCAAAGGTTGATAACGGCTCTTGAAACTCTCCAAGAATGGGTCGAGTTTTCCACTGATCAACGCTTTGGGTACTTGACATCTTGTCCTTCGAATGTCGGTAAGTTTATTCATATTAGCCTTGAACCTTCTTCTCGAGCATTGAATTTACATGGCAATAGTAGAGGTTTTCCCAAAAGATAATAATAGGTTTTGTGATACTAAATAATTAAATAAATAATAAATAATGATAATGTAAAATGTTAGCAGAAATCCACCGAAGACCTTTTGGTTTTAAAAATGTCTTCAAAATTGAGAAAAGATTTTTCAACTCTACTTTTGTCACAATTTCAATATGTATGACTCAGAATGTACCTAAGTTTTTGTAGAAACCACAAATTTGGCTTTAATCCCAAAACGACAGTTGCGTGGAAAGTTAATCTGCTTGGATCGATTTTCTTTTATTTTCTTGTCTTCTTTGAAAGTTTTCTCAAATGGGTTTTTTTATAAATGATAGTGATATTACTTTTTTGTGACTTACACCTCAATTGAAATTTCCAACAGAATTTCTTGATCTTGAAAAGAATATTATTACTACCGTTCTCTGATTAGAGTTTATTTTACCTATCAATTATTCAATAAGAAAATATTCTTTGCTTCTATTTTATTTTAATAAAATAATACTCGATAAGCCTTGGATAACTTCTAGATTTTTTCCGCTAACGTTTCGGTACCAAATTTGCTACAGTTGAAAATCCATCTCAAAGATATAAACATTTATCTAATCTAATGCTTCAATATGTTTGCCTTAGATATTTCTTGTTAATAATATGTCCAGAATTTGGTCTTGTCTAAGGAACCCATAAAAAATTGTTGTAAAAATTTCTATAATAGGGAGGGGGAACTGAAATGATGTAATAACCAACCTGTTTTTACTTACCACCTTAACCCCAGCCACCCCAACTAAATATTCTTAAATAGCAACCCCCTACTTGCGATACCTTATCTGAAAGCTCTTAAAAAATGCTTTTCAATGGTACCCTACAAGCTAGGATTCGATGTGATAGTTTTTGGTTTATTGGGCAAATGAAACTTCATTCAATTACATAAATTGAAATTGTATTTTTTTAGACTCATTTTTTTCAGATAAAAATTCCAAAGCAACAAATAAACAGGCCTAAACTGTTTAAGCCTCAAGATTAATGCTACTATAGTAACAGGAATGTTTTTGAAGATCTATTAATGTAATAGTCAAAAATTCAATTCACATTTCAATGGTTTTATTTTGAAAAACTGATAATTATTATTATATTGAATGTTAGCTTGATACCATTGAAAAGCATTTTTTAAGAGCTTTCAGATAAGGTACCTATCACAAGTAGGGGGTTGCTATTTAAGATTATTTAATAAGGGTGGCTGGGGGTGAGAGGGTAAGTGAAAACAGGTTGGTTATTACATCATTTTGGTTCCGCTCCCTATTATAGGAATTGTTTTGAACGATTTTTTATATTTTTTTTAGTTCCGGTAACAGATTTGGTACTGAAATGGCGAAACGTCAGTGGAAAAAGTCTAGAAGAAGGATTCACATATATATTTTGTTGTACCTAAGCAATTTTTACTAAACAAGAGTTTTTTATTATTATCGTATAATTCTATTGCCAATTTTTTTTTCCAATTTAGGTCAAGCAATCCGTCCATATTTCCATATTAAAATACCCAAGCTGGCTTCTGACAGGCCTAGGCTCATAGAGCTGGCGGCCAAGTACGATATGGCGGTAAGAGAAATCATAGAAGAGCCAATCAACATGCATGGAATCTATGAGCTATATAATGCGAAACGTTTGGGGACTACTGAATATCACAGTGTGAAGGTAATGACTCAAGGCGTCATTAAAATTATTGAGGCCGAGAAAGCGGCCCCACCGGTGGATTATTATAAACTGTACGGCCATTCAAGCTCAGCGGAGCAAAGCGGCATTTAATTATATAATATAGTATAGTATTTTGACAGAGAATTTCTGTATTGAGTTAAATGAAATATGTCAATATCATAATATGTATTGGAAAATAATAAATTTGTTAAAAAATAACGAAAAGACAAAACTTATTTTCAATAGCCAAATATGTTTAATGGATCCATGACCAAAAAAATGCTGAATCAAACGTGGAGATTTTAAACTGTCAGTGATTTTGAAAAAATATTAGAACCTATTATTTGCTTAAAACACAAATTATTTGCCTTGTTTTACCACTAGGAAATCTATTTCACAATTGAAACTTGTTTGGGCCAAAGCCTCTTGTCACAATATGATGATCTTGTATTCTAAACATGGCTTTTCTTATTCTCACCCTCTGGGACATTTGAAACCTGTGAAGAAACAAACCGTCTTCAATATTGTTATTTTTCTGAAATTCTGTTCTTTAGCCAAGTGAATATTGTCTGTTTGAATTTTCAACTCTCAATTGGGAATCATATTCTTATCACTGCAACATCAAATACTTCAATTGACTACTTTTGCTTGAATTTCCATGACAGTCACAAGTGTAGTGATTCTATTGTGGTGTAGTACAGTAGGTTCCCTCTGGCTTGTCAGAACATGAGGCTATAATAGAACATGTAGTCCTAAACATCAAAAAGAGTAAAAAAAATAGAATATATCAAGGGTAATTTTGATACATTTCTGAATCCCTATGGAATGTTTTAACAGAAAGTTAATTCACCATTTTAACAAAACGTTTCCACTGAAAACTGAAAAACAAATCTAGTCAGTGCGTTTAAAGCCCATGTTGATGATTTGTTTTCTAACAAATACAAATTAGGTAATTGTTTTATTTTGCAGTTGCAGGAGAAGCATTGTGAAAAACTCGTTTGAAAACCTTTTTTTACACTCGCTTGACTTGTGGAACTCGCCTACGGCTCGGTCCAACAAACTCTCTCACCGTGCGAAAAAAGTCGTTTTTAAAACTTTTTGTTTAAATAGGTACTTAACTATTACATGTTTTTATCCAGAACACCTCAAAGATAACTCTGTGCTGACACCTTCTGAAATACATATACAGATTGAAGAGATAAACCTATCCAACTCTATATCATTGAAATCAGCAAGAGCAGAGCTCAGAGCTATCCAATAAGCTAAATACCTATATGTATAGGGTGTCCCATGAAAAAAAATTGGACCTTGCGAAATGCGGTTTGAACCAATCAAGATTAATGAAATTTGAGTCTGATGGTTCCATTTTGTGCCTTTCGCTCAGAAATTGGCATTTCCTCTGTTCCCATTGAAAGTGTCCAAATTGGATCTCCCTGTGGTCTTTCGAATATTTTGTTTAAACTCGGTAAAGTTTTCCTGAAAATATTTTTTTGTTTTACTAATGCAAATAAAAACTGCGATTATACCTATACTATATATAATATTAGATTTTGATTTGAAGTGTATTTTACTTTATCAACAAATTTCTGAAGGGAGGCATTCCCGGTTTACACATCCTTGAAATTACATCCCTAGTAGGGGGAAGGGGCCCGTAATTTCAAGCGGGCGTAGAGCCCCAAAGGCAGGGGCAGATGGGGCCCCTCAGACCGGCGCGGGAAGTCGATTGAAACCGTGCCGCGCCTGTCCAGCAAAAAGAAGTAAAAAGCCCAAGCGATCGACTTCTGCGCATACCCTTCTCTTTTCTCTTGAGTTGAATAAAGACAAGACGACGAAATTACTCTATTTGCCGATAATCGGAGCCGCGTCACTTGCAGGTCAGTTCTCACAGAAATCACAAACCACTAACCAGTCACATAGCGGTTTTGATCATACCTACATGCAATCTGGAATAATGAAAAGAGGCAGACAAACGCGAAGATACCTCAAAACGGAATATAGCAAGCAATGCAATTTTCCTTAAAACATCAGGAATGGTATGGGCGCTTACGGCATGCATGCTTATGATTTACAGAGTTCCAGAGTTGGAAAGTTGCCAAATGCTAAATCAATTAAAAAATAAGCTATCTGGCTTCTTTGCTTTTTCAATCATTTTCAAACTTCCCGAGGAGGCGCCAATCGGCGCTGAAGGACCGGCTCACCGGGAAATCCCCTGGCATCCCGGTGGGCCCATCCGCCCCTGCTCAAAGGTTTTAGATATGGGTTTTAGATGCGGCACTGCATATTTTTCTACAAAAATTCTGAGATGATCAAAAATTACCCACATACTGTATTTTCGACCTACTCTTAAGATTTTCACAGAAAGGACCCCGCACAAACCTCACGGAAAATGGCTTTCTGTCAAATTGGCTGAATTTTTGAAATTGGGTAGATTTCGATATTGCGATTGAAAGTTTTCATTGCGCAAAAATGATTCCATGTACAGTTTTTGAGTAAATGAACTTAAAAAATGGTTTTGAAACACATGTAGCTTTAAGAGGTAGGTGCTCAACGTTATTAATCGATACTGCAATAGCCAAACTGTGGGATAGCGATGTTAAAGCAAAGAATGTTAAAGTCTAGGATCAGTGGCTAATATCTCAGCCGAGATACATTTTTTTTGTTTCCATTTCCACGCTTTGACTATTTTAGTATCGATTGATAGGGTTAACCATACCTACCTCATAAGATACATGCGTTTCCAATAGCATCTTTCAAGCCCATTTACTCAAAAACTGTACATGGAATCATTTTTGCGCACGATAACTTTTGATCATACTAACGAAATCTACCTAGTTTCAAAAATTCAGCCAATTTGACAGAAAGTCATTTTCCATAAGGTTTGTGCGGGGTCCTTAACTGTCATAATCAAGTAGTTAATTTGGAATAAGAAACTTAAATAATTTCTCTATATTTTGGATGGTGGTTTGGTGAACCATTATAGGCAAATCTAACTGAACCTTCATTTGATTAAGGAATAGGGATAATACACCACATATCACTGTGGGCTCTTCATTTTTGATATCTTCAGATTGGACGAGCTATCACTGCCAGATTAGAGATAGTCTGGTTAAAATGTAAGTCATATTACCATGCCAAAATACTTGCGACTAATCCTGTTACCGCTAGCTAATACTGCAGTGGGTCTACAGAATAAAGAACTTGCAGAAGTAAAAAATTAACAGCAATACTTTTTAGGCTGTTCATAATCCAAAAGGTTTGGTTTTCTGGTGACTCCCTGAAAAATGGAAAAGCTACATCAGACGTACAAACTACTGGATAATCGAGGCCTGGTAAAAAGAAAAATCAATCAATGCATCATCCAGCCAACATTCTCCCAGTTATTTTATTAGAGTCAAATGAGTTTTGCCATGGCATTCTTTGTGTTTTGCAACTGCTTTTCAAGTGTCCCTCTATTTATATTTTCTGCCATTCTGACATTGGCAGTTTTTCAAAAATAAAATTGATGTCTGGTTTCTTGCATAATTGCGTTTTTTCCTAAGTACCTTACCTTTATTTTGTGAATTTTCAGATAGGTACAACACCCAAATCTACGGAATTGAGAATAGAATGTTAAGCCATAATTCAAATGTGATTGGTAAGGAGTTCTGGGCTGCGTTCAGAAATGGCTACAGCCAAGCCAAAATTGGCATTTTGCGTTCGAGTTCGGCACCAACCTACGTGGTTTGGCAATACCGGTGGAGGGGGAAAAGTAGGTTTTGGCATTAGCATTGCCGTCCTTGAACGCACCCCTGGAGAGTTAAAATTAAACACAAATCTAATATAATTATTGATAACATAATTATATGGGGTATAGAAAACAGATTAGGACCAATTCTCAGACCTACCGAATATACATATTAAATTTCATAAAAGTCGGTCAAGCCATTTCAGAGGAGTATTGTTACAAACACTGTGACACCAGAATTATATTGAATATAGATTAATTTAATTGTAATGTACCTATGGATGGAAACATTATCAGATATTTGAATGACAATAATTTGAATAATTTAATAAATCAACACGAGAAATTGAACAAAATAAATTCATAAACGCAATAAAGACCTGCTGGAACAATAAGGAGAATACTCCAGCAAGAAATCCTTAAAGGGGGTGTCACCCTAAAAAACGCGACTTAAGCTACTTGAATCAAGAAAAAATATATAAAGATCTCTCGTGAAAACCGCAGTCCTATATTCAAATAATAGTCTCCGAGAAAATTCCTTGCGAAAATAAATTATGCAGGAACTTGTGACGTCACAACCGCCGAAATCGCAGTCTTCCGTTCGTTCAGTCGACAGTGAACCGTACCCTATACTTTGAGTGGCTGCAATTCGCTCTATAGTGAGATAATTTGTCTTTTGTTTTGGAAAATTCTTACACGTGTTGATACTGTGCCTGATAATTAGGTGTGCAAGGGCGTTTTAAAGGGGGGGTAGAGGGGGTAATTACCCCCCCACCCCAGACAAAGATTTTTTTTAATACATCTATTAATTACAACAAAATTTCAACAAAAGACAAGTTCTACAAAGTAAAGGATTAAAGGCATCGTATGAATATGATAGGCTCACCAGTACCGACGTATCTACTAAAGTTCCTAAAGTTCATAGGTTGTCTGGTAATGGGTAACTTGATGACGCATCTGGGGGCCTTATATGCAGCATTGCATTATATTGAGGCTTCTCAGATGACGTCATAAAGTTATCAGGCAACCTACCTCTCTTAAACAACCTTGCGTACTTACTACTATACAGTACTATGGTTGTTTGAAATGTCTGGTCTTGTGTACAGTATTGCGAACACCCTGTAGAAGAATGTTAACAGATTTTCATAGGACCATGAAGTAAATTTGAGTAAAGTCCGTCGTTTCTAAACTGACACTTTTCGTATGAGGAGCGAGGGGGTATTTCATATGGCAAAAACAGGTGTGACGTCAGGTAATCATTGGCGTTCTAATGTAGGGAGCCACCAGCTAAAATTCTGTTGGAGTATCAGATTAAAATCGACAGACATTATGCACTAACAACCTGCCAAAGCTTTAGCTTGTAGGATGTCCAATGGATGAAATATGTTGGTT